ATTCAACAATATCATATTCTAACTGTTCATATAGATTCACATTAACATAATGTTTATAATAGTTTGCTCTTTCTGGGGGGATGTAAACAAAACATATAAACAGATCATAATCAACATTCAGTAAACATCCATCAAATTTTACCCATAACAATGTATCATATTCAATTTTTACAATTGTGACATACCTTTTAACAGAATTCTTTATAAATAGAACATTATCCCCACCTTTACATTTCTTTCTATTAATAATTACGGTCTCATAATCATTTAATTGTACTTCTGCATTACCTCCCACCCAGCATTCACAGAGGTAAACAATGTCACAGTTATCAAAAACTTTCACAAATTCACTGCTCTTGAGTTTTTTCACCAGTCCTCTTTGACAATTCCATGAACAAAAAGACACATATCCAAATTTTCCACCCCCCTGTTTGTCCTATTGCTTATATAATTCATCATTTATAAATAATTTATTATAAAACAGTTTCACTTTCACATTAGGGTCAGCCCTCTTTTTTTCTTTCATTACTTTCAACAATTTTCTTCTTTCTTCTTCGATCTCTGGTGGAAACTGTTCGTAGACAAAAAAAATCCAACCCCTTTAATGTTTTAGTGCTATACCTCACTTCATCTTTGTCTCTGGCTCTGTTAAACTGTACACATACTTTCCTTGGCTTCTTCTTTGGATCACCAAATCTGTTCACTTTATCTATCAAAAAACTATCAACCTTCTCTCTGGGAATCTTCATTACATCTTTCATAAACCCTCTAACTTTATCTTCCAAATCTCTCTGATTTTCTCGCCTGTTTCTATCCTCTACTTCTTCATTGATATTAGTAAATATGAGATTATTTGACATTGATCTAGCTTTTAGTCCAACTATTTCTGATTTCATCTCCTCATTTTTCTCCTCCATTGTTTTGACTCTCACGCCAAATTCATCTTGATCTCATTCAATCTTATAGTTTCATTTCGTGTCTTTAAAATTTCATTTCTTAAATAAGTGACTGCCTCTTGCACGGCTCTGATCTCGGGTTGAATTTGGGTCCTAAATATTTCAAATTGTTGATTGATTTCTTGCTGTCGCATAGTCAAATTTCGCATATTTACTAAAAGTTCATTCGCCCAAAATGGAACCTGCTGATTGTAATTTGTGTCATTATCTATAACCGGACTCGTGATGGTTGTTAAATGGTGATTTGGTGTTGATGTGTAGGGCGAACAGTGTTGTTGTGTCAACAAAAATGGCTGTCCAATATACCCTGTAGTGGATTGCTGTTCATTGAATGTCATATTTCCATTTTCTGCCTGATCGTCCATGATCTGAGGAAAATACCCGGCCGGACGCCAGTCCTGGGGTTATAACACACCTAAATTATAGGAAATAGATCCCCCTTGGACCCTCTAACCAGAATACCAGTTAATTTTCTTCAGACAATATTGTTCGTCACACATCAATCCGCCATCTTGACCTATGTCACCCAGTAATTGAAGATAATTTAGCCCACATATTTGAACACAGGGTTAGTGATTATGAATGTCAAAATGCTCTCAAATAATTCAAAAATAACAAAACACCAGGTAACGACGGACTTACTGTTGAATTTTACAGAAAACACTGGCAACTTGTAAGGATCCATGTACTTAATTCATTCAATCGTGCCTTCGAAAATGGAACCTTATCTAATTCTCAGAGACAATCGGTAATAAAACTAATTCCAAAATCCGGAAAAGATACAACTCAACTAACTAACTGGAGACCAATTAGCTTAATTAACGTAGATGTGAAGATCTTAAGCAAATCCTTATCCATCAGACTAAAACCGTTTCTAACCGACCTTATTCATCCAAACCAAACAGGCTTTGTGCCTGGTAGACACATACAGAAAAATACCAGGATAATAAGTGACTGTTTTACTCTAGCATCTCAGAAAAAAATCACTGGCATATTATTAGCGTTAGACTTCCAGAAAGCCTACGACAGTGTTGATCATAATTATCTGTTTTCCGTGCTGAGATATTTTGACTTTCAAAAAAACTTTGTGAGGTGGATCAAGACCCTATATCATAATATTACCTGCACCGTTATGAACAATGGTTTCTCAACGAAACACTTCCTAGTAAGTAAAGGAGTCCGACAGGGGGGTCCATGCAGGTCAAACCTTTTTAACCTCGTTCTAGAAACATTATGTCAGAACATTAGAAACTGTAAATACGTTGAAGGCATAGAATTTGGACAAAAATCATTAAAACTGGTCGCTTTTGCCGATGACATCACTTGTTTACTGAAAAATTTCAAATCAGCAAGACATCTTTTCGAAATTTTAAAGAAATTTAGTAAAGTATCCGGTCTTGAAATCAATGCAACCAAAACCGAGATATCAGACCTAAAAAGTAAAACTGAAAATATACAATCCATTGCTAATGAATTAGGAATAATTTTACAGAAAGAAAAATTAAGATTTTGGGAATCTATTTCACAAATGATAAGTGCTTAAGCAATAAATATAACTATGAAGGAAGGATTTCGGATATCAAAACAATACTTAACAGGTGGAAAAAAAGAAACCTAACATTAATAGGAAAAATCCAGATTATAAAGAGAGAGAGAGAGAGAGAGAGAAATGGGGTTTAACGTCCACTCGACACAACTAGGTCATTTCGGAACTAACATATGGTTTAATTTTATTTCAACAATTCGCTTGCGCATAGGGGTCTTTAGCAGTGGGAGGAAATCGGAGGACCCTACTCCTTGTCACGTACAACCGGGGATTCGAAACCACGCCAGTCGACTCAATGACAGACTTTATGATACAGCGCGCGCACGCTAACCATTCAGCCATCCAACCCCCCCCCCCCCCAGATTATAAAAACATTCTGTATCTCTAAAATACTATACCCAACATTAACGATAACTATTCCAGATTATATCATTTCAGATTTTAATACGATTATATATAATTACCTGTGGTCAGGCCCAGATAAAATAAAACGAAACGTTATTTCCCAACCATTTGAAAAGGGGGGGGGGGGGTAAATATGATAAACTTTAATGAATTGTTGAAATGCCAAAGTGTCTTTTGGATAAAGAAAATATACTCCGAACAAGAACAACCATGGAAAACTATTTACGAATATATCCTGCAAAATCAGAATGGATATTTAATACCGTTATCTAATTTCAATATTAGGAACATTGTCTCGACGTCCTTTTATACAAACTTATTTCAAAACTGGTATAACATATACACATGCTATATTGATAGATTGGTTCCCTTCAAAAATCAATTGATTTGGAATAATCATAATTTAAGAAATACTATTAAGTCTTCAATCAAGAATAGTTTAATTAACGATAACATTTTATTTGTTGGGGATATGGCAGACATCAGTCTTTCCAAATATGACAATGATCTTATCAAGTTAATGGAGATCAATCAAACTTTGGTTAACATTAAAAAGGTAAAGGAAACAATATCGGAAACGGAATATATATAGTTGGAATACTAAAATTTGTGAAAATAGATTAAAAGCAAATTTGGATAACTTTTTAGAAATATTATATAAAAAAAACATACCAAATATAACCTCAAAAGACATTTTTAAAAAAACTTATACAAAAGAACTACACAAAACCGCCAGCTATTGTCAAATGGGAAAAAAAATATAGTATTACCTTAGAAGAAGACGAAGTTAAACACATTTGTTCACAAATACGAAGAATAACTAAAGATTCAAAAATGGTAACATTTCATTTTAGATATATTCAACATATAATCTACCTAAACAATCGCTTATATAAAAGAATTAAATATTGTTAATTTACTTATATTGTTATCAAAATACTATATTTATTCATCTAAGATCAAAGAAAATATTCCGAATGCCAGAAGTTATACTTCATACATCGAAACGAAAACTAAGATAATATACAACACAGAAGACGGACACAACATCTTGAAAATTAAACTTGAAGTTAGTTAATATACAGAATTAATAATATTTGTTTATATAACGTACATTTCTTTATGCACCCTAAAGTAATATTTATTTCTCATACTAGATTTAAGTTATCAATAGATCAAGTTTGATTTATATTTATGAATTATGTATGTATGTATTCTGTATATGTATGTTCTATCGTTTTTTATTGGTGAATAAACTGGATTAAAAAAACAAAAAAAACTAACTTCTTCAGGGATGAAGACCAGTAGTCGTTGGATAAAACGATGTTTTTTTGATATTGCATTCAATTAGTTATTGTATATCACGTTATAATGTGGACGTTTAAAAAAGAATAATAGAAGATCATTTTCAGTAATTTAACGATTCTGGATACACACCCCAAACCACCGATAGGACTCTGAGAAACAGAAGTTTAAGAAATATAACCATCGAATTCGTATCATCTGGATGTCATAAATGATAGTCCACTAATGCGACTATCCAGTGACACTTTGGTTAATTTGATCCGGTGACAGCTTTCTGTTTTTTTCTTCTTTTATTGGACTGCTTTCGGTATACGGATCATTGTCGGGATAGTTTTAACAACCAGTTTGGGCACTTGAATGGTAGCAGGGCTCTATAATGATATATTACATTATCTGATCAGTTGAAACCCCCTCAGAAATCCTATGTTCAAAATAGGCCTGCAGCCAAAATTTCTAGCATGAAGTTCCGCTACAAGGTCCTCCCTACTAAACAAACTATACATTTTTGGAAAGTTTATAAAACCGGGAACACAAATCCAAAGGTTTGCAATAATTCGATTTAGGGCCAGATGAAAATTGTGATAATTGTCAAGTAAATGCTATGTTTATACTAACAATTGTGAAGTTGGCATAAAATAAATATTGGCGAAAACACCCGATGTTTTCATCTATGCAAAGAATATGCTATTGGTTAAATTTTGCTTTAAAGAAGACTGCAGAAAACATAATGGACCAGGGAACATACGGAATTTTGGAAATCCATTTGGACTAAGACTAGTAATTATTTCCCCTTATTTCATGATGGACGAATGTAGTGCGAGTTATAAATAGACAATTTTTCCCTTAATTTTTTTCTCCCCTCTTCCTGCATTTTTGGGTTGACTTTTTGGTCTAGAATTGGAGAAAAGGGATCAAATTTGCAATTTCATAGCAGTTTTGGGTAATACTGATGATATTACAGCGGAGGGATAGGGGGTGTAAAGTGTCTTTCTGCAGAGCAATCATTGTGTCGGAAGTGAGATTTCCACCCCTGTCAACTTCAAATCTGTGTAGCAAAAAATCTAAATGGTCAACCCCCTACAAAATTATGATGAGGAGATTGCCAAATGTTGTCCCCATTGTGCCTATAAAGATTGGAACCAACGGAATGTTGAGCAAAAAGCTACAGCCTGTGATGTTACAGTCATTTAACATTGAAGTCAATGGGCAAATAATTGCTAGTCTGAGTCCTGATGAAATAATGAAGCATGGCCGACTCGGAATGTTGATATTTTTTCAACGGCTTGTTTCCTGAAGTTTTGAATGGAAAGTGTCAGAAATGGTAAGAATACTGCTTTTTTATTGCCCAGCAGTAAGTTTTTTGACTATTTGGTATCAAAATAGCCATGATTGGGGGTATCCGTTGGTTGAGTGTGAATTTTGGGTTGTAAATGTGTAACATTTTGTTCACAATGATATCAAAACATGGTTAGGTCTAAATATTAAGGCCAACTCAACTGCAGATTTGGTCTAAAGTCACGAGATGTAAACAAGACTGACCCTAACCCTAACCCAAGACCCAGTCCTTACCCTAACCCTAACCCACAATCTTGTCAAAAAGCATGTAGCCTAGGCCTAAGCCAAGACCTAGTCCTGACCCTAGCCCAAACCCACAATTGTGTCAAAAAATCATGTGCCCTAACCCTAATTACATGTTGTGACCTTGAACCAAGTCTGCAGCTGGCCTTAACATTTAGACCTAACATGTTTTTGACATCATACAATGAAATGTTAACATGTACACTCCAAAATTCACACCTGTGTGACTTTTGATCAAACATGCAGTTGGCCTTAATATTTAGACCGAACCTTAAAACATGGCATCTACCTTTGAGATTGGCTTAGACTTATGTGACACTCAAGGTTTACTTTTTTACTGACTGTTAACTGGTTTCTTTTTGGAGGGCCAGTGACGGGCTGTTCGCTAGAAATAAAGAGGTTTATTTCTATTTCCAGTTGAAACCATATTTTTTTCTTATTTTCTCACTGTTTTTTATTGCATATTTATCCCCAGCCTCCTATCATTTCAGGTGCCCAGGTAATGTTTCATAGAGTGGAATGATTGACCTCAACACAAGTATTAAAAAAAAAAGAAGCAAAACAGGTGAGATAAATGTGCATTTCATACACTTTAAGAAGTACATCCAACCTGATCCCCGCTTCTGCTCACTAATAGTAATGGGCTGGAAATTTGGTACTGCACAGGCCTGTCTTCTCCCCTTGACATTTAACTGAATGACAGAATTCCACATTTTGACCATTTTCTGGATGTCAATGACCATTTCCCTGGATAGTATTCGCCCCAGAATTCTCATTCTCATCTAAATTTAACATTTCAGGTCTACATCTCAAAACCTGATCTCTTCCTGAACTGGCTTTAGGAGAACGATGATGCATATCAATTTCATCCCTGATCTCTATGACACCTGTGGTGGAAGTGGAGGGCAAATCGTAATCAGTTTGGGTTCCAGCCCCGAGGACCTTTGTAAACTTTGCTTTTTGGTGATGACTTAATTTCCGAGCTTGAAAAGGACGCTTGTGTGTTTATCATGGCCTCTCATATTGGAAGATAACATTAATGGCTTGTGTGTTGATCGACGGTTGTGCATATCTCTTGGTCAGGAAAGTTGTAGGCACCATCGCCATTGTAAATCATTTGACAGGCCCGAGTGAACGGGGCGACCTATGATTGGTCAGCAATGTATCAGATTCCATACCGGGGGGTGGGGATGAAAAAACTGTTGTAGTGTTACATAATCAGATTATTTCAACTTACTTATCCTGTGGAAATACAGCTATATAGGAGATATTTTGAAATTCATAGGCACTGCATGTTTCAACATTTTAGATTTGACCACAATTTGGCACTTGAAACTATGTTAACAGAGAAAAACTGTGTGGTTTTCGATGAAAGTGTTAAAAGTCTAATATTGCATCATGATTACTGTTTTAAAGTATTTTCGTGTTTGATTTATATTGAATTCATCTCATCTTTTTGAAGAATGCATTTATGTTCAAAAATAAAAATGTTCTGTGGAATTCAAAATTGATGTGCTTTTAAATTATCAGATTCCAAACTGGGGGTGGGGATGAAAAAGCTGTTGTAGTGTTACATAATCAGATTATTTCAACTTACTTATCCTATGGAAATACAGCTATATAGGAGATATTTTAAAATTGATAGGCACTGCATGTTTCAACATTTTAGATTTGACCACAATTTGGCACTTGAAACTACGTTAACAGAGAAAAACTGTGTGGTTTTCGATGAAAGTGTTAAAAAGTCTAATATTGCATCATGATTACTGTTTTAAAGTATTTTCGTGTTAGATTTATATTGAATTTATCTCATCTTTTTACAGAATGCATTTATGTTCAAAAATAAAAATATTCTGTTTAATTCAAAATTCATGTGCTTTTAAATTTCTGTCTGAAATTCCGCAGTTTTCTGATGTATTATAGTGTTTGCAGAATGCCGCACAGCTCATCTGAAAATGCATAGATTTTCATATTCTTTGGCCAGGGAATTGCATATATGTTTGTTTATTAGATAACAACAGATTTGTTTAAACTGCAGAAACATGTGAGGTATATAGGACTAAGACTAGTAATTATTTCCCCTTATTTCATGATGGACGAATGTAGTGCGAGTTATAAATAGACAATTTTTCCCTTAATTTTTTTCTCCCCTCTTCCTGCATTTTTGGGTTGACTTTTTGGTCTAGAATTGGAGAAAAGGGATCAAATTTGCAATTTCATAGCAGTTTTGGGTAATACTGATGATATTACAGCGGAGGGATAGGGGGTGTAAAGTGTCTTCCTGCAGAGCAATCATTGTGTCGGAAGTGAGATTTCCACCCCTGTCAACTTCAAATCTGTGTAGCAAAAAATCTAAATGGTCAACCCCCTACAAAATTATGATGAGGAGATTGCCAAATGTTGTCCCCATTGTGCCTATAAAGATTGGAACCAACGGAATGTTGAGCAAAAAGCTACAGCCTGTGATGTTACAGTCATTTAACATTGAAGTCAATGGGCAAATAATTGCTAGTCTGAGTCCATTTACGGTAAAGGGAGTTATCTCCCTTTACGGAAAATAATACTGTAATGGGAGTGACAACCTTGTAATCAATAGAAAATAAATCAAATGGAGTTTAATGTTTTACTGTTCTGCACCAACTCGTATAATGAAGATAAGCATATGCCATATGCTTTAGTCCGGTAGTGGTGGGGGGATGTACGTGTACAGCTAGCATTGCATGCAAGTGTCATCGGTGTGCAAGAGAACCGTGGTGACTGAGTAAGAGGCTGGCTCACTTACCGTCGGTTCAAGGTTTGATCCTGGTCTGGCGTGGTTTCTTCTTGTCTGTGGCTCACTAATCAGGAGGTCCGGAGTTTGATCCCCGTGTTGACCTAGACAGTTCCCAGCGTCGTTTCCTATTGTCTGTGTTGCAGGAAGGGGGGGGGGGGGTGATGGGCAGCGTCTAGTTGTTCAAAATAAAGAGTAGATCGTAACGTTGCTGTTTGGACCAAATTCCCCTTATAGTGAGAAAATTAAATATTTATAGATGCTTTGTTTCAATTCAAATATTTGTTTGTAATTTGGCCCCTCCCAGATTCGGTGAACTGTCCATTTTTCGGGCAATGTATTTCAGTTTTTCGGGCACAAACATCAGAGAATGGGGAATGCGACCATATATCATGGAAATATAATTGTATAATTGTGTAATAAATTGAAAATAAACAACCATCCCAGCTTTGTGGAAAATTCATTTTAGTTAAACATACATTATGCAAGAGCTAAATCTGTCTATTGCAGGTCTTTCCTTAGGCCTGAAATGTTATCTAAATTAGTTCTCGGTTCATAGTGGATCAATTTAAATGAAATTTTCAGCAAATTGCCTTTACGTTATCTAGTTTTTAACTATTATAGTGAGAACTGCCAACTCGTTATCGAATATCCCATAATGTAATTGGAGATGGATAATAATATACAAGGATCGCTAGAATTTGACAGGTTTAGGAAGTTACAACGACTGATATTTACCAAATGTACACGTTTAAAACAAACATCTCTGATGTTCTTCGTTTCTATGCATTCAAACATAAAATGAAATAAATCTTCATTACATTGATGGCATAATGGACATAATGGAAAAAGTAGTTTGATTTCGTCTGTGCAAATTCAAACATGTTGGTAATAGATTTGGCCTAAATTTTGTTATATTTCTTCTGTGTTTTAATTGAATGTTCGACAATACATAAGATTCCTGAACTAGATTTATTTTGAATTTGCAATAATCTGTTAAACTTTCGCTTTCTGATAATTTAGCTGACCACTCTTGTAAGTTTATATCTAATAATCGTAACTTCATTTGACTTATAAACATGTTACAATTGCCGATCATTTCAGTTTCAAAAACATAACCAAATCCTAAGGAATATAACATAATTCTGACCTTTGTCACCCAACTAACCCTGCCGGTTTTGTCTAATTGTTTTAACATAATAAATACTTGTTTAGGATAACGATCTATGGGCATACGCAATAGTTTACACAAATATTTAATACAACACGAAGTATAATGTATGCTTAAACTGTGTCTTCCACATTCCCCAAGCGTTCCAGCATTTGATGAACACTTATGAATTCCTAAAATGAACTTGCAAAAGTTGTTATGCCCTTTTTAAATTTCGTGCCGATATTGAAAACCCCACAACTCGGCTCCATAGTTGAGGACATGTTTTATAACATGATCAAAAATCTTAAAACACAGGTTGATATATAAATATTCCGTCTTTCTAATTAAACTTCTTACAGATATCAAAGCCTTCTCCGCTTTAATTGATAAGTTAATAATATTTGTATTACAGTTCAACCTGGAGGAAAATATTAGGCCCAGATAATCATAATAAGTTACAGTTTCAATTTGTTGATTATTAAAGAACCATTTCTCATTTTGCTTTATTACACCACCGTTTCTAAAGATAGGTTGCCAGGCAAGGAAACATACGCCCACAGCAACTAAATCGTCCGGGCAGTCAACAAGTATTGTCGCATATTTTTACTTTTTTTGGTAATGAAACATTTATAATACACTAAAATCTGATTAAGAGTAACAACTCATGAAGTAATTATCAATCTGAAGTCAATCGGATGATAACTTTAGCCTATAGAGCGTCAAAGTGATCAAATGCCATAACTATGGCAGTAATTATCGGAAAATCAATAGAATTCTTTGTCTCATGACCTCAAACACTGTGTATAAATTTAAAGTCAATAGGATATAAACTTTAGCCTCTAGAGCATCCACAAGAACTCTGACAGTAATTATCGGAAATCGCTAAAAATAAATCAACAAGCTTTTCGTCTCATGATCTTAAACACTGTGTATATATTTAAAGTCAATCGGATATTAACATTGACCTCTAGAGCGCCCACAAGATTTTTTGAAGTGATCAAGGGCCATAACTCTGGCCGTAATTATCGGAAATCGCTGAAAATCAATAGGCCTTAAACACTGTGTATAAATTTAAAGTCAATCGGATATTAACTTTAGCCTCTAGAGCGTCCACAAGCAATTGTGGACGCCGGACCGTCGGACGGACGGATGGCGACGACAATATACGACCACATTTCAATGTGGGCGTACAAAAACAATTATTTGGGGTTTATCTGGATTTACTTTAAGATTAAACTTTGAACAAAATTTTTCTAACAAATTAATTTTATATTGTAAATCTCGACTGAATCAGGGAACAATGACATGTCGTCAGCATATAATAACGAAGCAAGTAATAACAAAAAAACAATGGGCTTAAAATACATCCTTGCCTTACACCGGAATCACAATTAAACGATCGTGTTACATAAGAATCAAGTTTCACACAGGAGGTAACAGATTTATACATAGAAGTTAATGTAGCATACATTTTCCCATGGAGACCTTTATTTATTAATACAGATATACACATATCAGATAATTCTGCTTAAACAATGGGCTATACTATATACCGGAAAACACCGGAAACACCCGGAAAACACCATGTTATACTGAATACCGGAAAACACCGGAAAACACACTAAATACCGGAAACCACACTAAATACCGGAAACCACCCTAAATAGGTAACCCGGAGAAGGGCTATACTATAAACCGGAAACTAACCCTAACCCTAACCCAGGCACACAGAGGACCAGGCTCCCGGTTACCTATTTAGGGTGCCAGTCTCTGGGTTACCTATTTAGTGTGTTTTCCGGTATTTAGTGTGTTTTCCGGTATTTAGTGTGTTTTCCGGTATTTAGTGTTTTTCCGGTGTTTTCCGGTATTCAGTATAAAATGGTGTTTTCCGGTTGTTTTCCGGTGTTTTCCGGTTGTTTTCCGCTATATAGTATTGCCGTTAAACAATCATATGCCGTACTGAAATCAATGTACAATACAAAAAGCCTCCCTTTGGCTTTGGATAGATATTTTTATACTAGACCCTGAAGAGTAAACGCATGATCAATTGTAGACCGACCCTTGCGATATCCAGCCTGGGCTTCATCAAATTTACCCTGTTTTTCTGACCGACTTTTAAGCCTCGAGTTTAGTACTGAAGCATATAGTTTACCAACGACAATACTTTATACCGGAAAACAACCGGAAAACACCATGTTATACTGAATACCGGAAAACACCGGAAAAACACTAAATACCGGAAAACACACTAAATACCGGAAAACACCCTAATTAGGTAACCCAGAGATTGGTCCTCTGTTTGCGGGGAGTTAGGGTTAGGGTTAGGTTTTTCCGGTGTTTTCCAGGGGACCAGACTCCGAGTTACCTATTTAGGGTGTTTTCCGGTATTTAGCGTGTTTTTCCGTATTTAGTGTTTTTTCCGGTGTTTTCCGGTATTCAGTATAACATGGTGTTTTCCGGTAGTTTTCCGGTGTTTTCCGGTATATAGTATAGCCCTTTACCAATGCTATCTAACAACGAAATTCCTATGTAATTATTCGGTTCAAACTTAGAACCTTTTTTGTGCAATGGAGTTATCAGTGCTTTGGATCATGAAGTCGGAAAATACCCAGAGTCAAAAATATTATTAAATAAAGTAAGAATTGGTATGAACTGTTCGGAACAAGCTTTTATTAAATCGATAACCAACCCATCAGTACCGGGGGAGGTGCCCGATCTGGCCCCTTCAAGACATTTACTAACTTCATGTTCCCAAATTACACAATTTAATAATAAGTCGCTAACACATGTTTGATCATTACAAATATTCTCAAATGATTCCACGACTTGGGAAGCTTCATGTGAAAAAGAATCATCAACTACATCGACTAATAGGTTAAGTAAATTTTGGAAATAGTTAGCCCATTGTACCGGGGA